CCGGCCCCGCACCGGCCCCGCACCGGCCCCGGCCCTGCACCGGCCCCGGCCCCGCACCGGCCCCGGCCCCGCACCGGCCCCGCACCGGCCCCGCACCGGCGGACAGCGGTACCGGCTGCGGTAAGGATAAGCGGTACCAGCGCCAGCAGCGCTACAGGCAGCAGCCGTGCGGCCGTGGGTGCTCGTGTGTGTGTCTATGGAGCAGTGGCATGTGCATGCATGTGTCTGCATGGGTGTCTGTGGTTGTGTGTGTGTGCCTGTGGGGGTGTGTATGACTGTGTGCTGCTTCTGCCGCCATCTCTCCTTCCTGAGGCTGCCAAATGAGCTGAGGGATGGAGCCTCTGCCTGCAGGTCTGGTTGTGGCCACGGGCATGTGCTGGGTAAGCCCAGGTCCCCTCAGTAGCGACTGATTCCTGGGACAAACAGCTGATTCCAAATAGGAGCTGCATCCAATGTGCACCTGAATCCTGTGCCCTGCCAGGGTGGCTACGGGAGTGCTTTGAGACCAGAGCTTTCCCCCACCACCCCCAAGTTAATTATTAGGGGGATTTTAAAATTTAATTTATAAATGAGTTTAACTTTGCCTCAGATATTATTTTTCAACCTAATTGAAATGTAGTGTGTGTGTGCCTTTTAATTGCTTTGAAGAACCTAATAAGAAGCTCCTTGAAGTCTAAAGGCTAAAAGCTGGAGGATGGCAGATTTTAATAAATTTAACATTAGCTTAACATTTCCACAGGGATTAGAAAATATCTGTTTGTAAGGCTATTTGCTTGAGCTAAGCAATGCAATTTGTTCCTCTGTGTTAATGCATATGTGATATGTGAACAGTCCAATTTTAAATTTTTCTCATGGTTTAAAAACTTTTTTTCAATGAAAGTTGCTTTTATTTTTAAATCTCACAGGTCTGTAAAAATTGTTATGCTGAAGCAGGGGTGGGTCAGCTCCGGGGCTCCAGGGGTGGGAGGATGAATTTTGGCCCCTCTCATCTTCAGCCCATAACCTGTAGGAGATGACAGCCCCTGCGGAGGGCAGGTCATTGCCCAGATTTGGGAGGATCTGAGTTACCTTTCTGTGGCCCAGGCAAGGCACAGCCTCTCCAGCTAGCCTGGCTAAGCAACCTCTGCTCCCCAGCCGTGAGGAAGCACTAATGCTCTTCAGACGTGTTTGCACCCAACAACAGCAGGACTTCAGAATTACCAATACAGGAATTTACTTGAGTAATTAACACTACTTTTAATGAAGCTGTTGGCTTGTGGATGCAGCACCTGGGTTTGCTGAACTGTGAAATTAAGTTCTCAAAGATCAGAAAAGTGAGTATTTAGGGCCAGATAACCACTTTTGGGAAACAGCTTTCAGTGAGGTTTAAAGTTCCTTGAGGTAACACCTGACTGCACGTGTGGTTTACTTCCTGAGCCCCCTGCAGCACCCAAGAGGGAAACTCTGTCTCGGGCAGGTTTTACTTGGAACGTATGGAAGAAGAGCCCTGCCGTTCTGCCAGGGGGATTGGGTGGGTGCTTTAGAGCGAGCAAGGACCGCGGCAGAGCCAGGGGCGGGGTCCCCAGACTGCAGGTGTGGCCTCCGCTCGCCCTGCGCGCCTGGGAGGGGTTGGGTGAGTGGGGGTTTGGGGGGGACCAGGATGTCAGGGTCCCGTCTTGGGGTTTCTTTCCCCCGGTGGCTGCTCCCGAGGCACTTTGGGATGCTCAGCGCGGACTTGCTCTAAGTGTTTAAAAGGCTGGGAAACGAAGGTTTTCCCGGAGCCCCGGATGGGATCCAGCCGCCCGGCGCAGAGCAGTGCCGGGGCGGTGTGTGCCCCTCGGGGCTGCCCCGCCGGGGGCGTTGCATAACGCTTTACATAACCGGGCCGAGCGGAGCGGCCCCCCCGCACCTGCCCGGGCCAGGCCCCCCCGGGCCCGGCGCCGGAGGGGCGGGAGCGCCGGGACCGGCGCAGCCGCCCGGGGCCGGGCCCGGTGCGGAGGAGCGGCCGCCGGCTCCGAGCGGGGTCTGCGGGCTCCCCCCGCCCGGCGGGACCCCGGGATGGCCTCGGGCAAGGCGGCGGGGGAGCGGCGGTGGGAGCTGGTGCGCTGGTGAGTGCGGCGGAGCCGGGGGTCGCGGCCAGGGGCACCCGAGCTGGAGACCGGCAGGGGCTCAGCTTGCGAGGGGCTCTGGGCTTTGGCGTGGGGATGCTCCCAGCCCGGGACAGGGCGAGAACCCGGGCTGGGTAAGGGTAGGGTTGAGGGGACACGGGACCTCGCCCTGGGTCTGGGATGCTGCGGGGCGCTCCGAGGGGCACCGCGTGGTCCCGGCCGGAGCGGGGGTCCCGGGGGTGCAGGGAGGGGCGGGTCCATGCTGGGAGGGGAATCTCTGGCAGAGGTAGGAGAGTCAGAACCCGAAGACTTTTTCCACTTGGGAAAGGGTCCTGTCGGCTCAGGAGGAAGCACGGGAGCGGCAGCGTGCCGGGATGCCGAGGTCTCCTCATTCCGGGGAGTCCCCGGGACTCGTGTGGCGTGCTGAGGCTCTTCTGATCTCTGGCGTGCGGGGACGGGGCTTGGAACAGGGCACTGTATGTGCCCGGAGCAGCCGGGACGGGCTGACATTGAGAACAAGCTTTGTCTGTGTTCTTTTATGTTGAATTGTGCAGTTTGTGACGTCCGAAGCTTGTGACTTTTGAGCAGGGCGCTGCAGCGATGCCAAGCTGTGGCTGGGTGGCTCCTTGGGGATGCTGATGGAAGCACCGGGACGGGGCCCGGGCTCGTCCCTGGGCGGGAGCAGAGCCCGAGCCAGGCCGGCGCTGGGTGCCAGCGCCCCAGCTGTCGGTGGGAGCCCCTCAAACTCCGGCAAGAGTGGGAATCACTGAAGCTTTTTCTTTTCCTCTCAACTTCCCTTCCCCCCCCCGACCCCCCTCCGTCCCTGCAGCCAAGGACACTTTTTTTCCCTCACACACTTGAACAAACTGTTACAGCAGCTGCATGGCCTGGCTGTTCTGCATCCCCACTGCCTCACCCCCACTTCCCAAGGGACACTCTGGCTTCCCTGCCTCTGCTCTGTGCACGGTTATCGTGTACCAGAGCTGCAGGGAGCACTGGCATTGCACCGTGCTTGGTTGCTTTTAACTAGAAAATTGGCAGTTACTGTGCTGGGGATGCTCACGGGGCCTTTTGGGTTTCCTTTCACTGCAGTGCGAAGTTGCAGTTCCTGCACTGTCACTGCCCCCAGCGCCGCAGGACCCTGCAGGGCTGGGCTGGGCTCAGTGGGCTCAGGCAGGTCACAGAACCCAGCAGCAGCACGTGGGAAGCTCATGGCACATGGAACATCCCCCTGGCCCCATCCAGACAGTGTGGGCACATCCCTGCCATTAGTGTTGGGAATGAACCTCCTGGAGCATCCATATGCAGAGGAATGGACAGGAGCTGTCTCCAGCTCTGGCTGAGTTTCATGGATGCTGCAGCTGTGTGTGCATGTGCCTCCAATCAGTACTACAGGGGCTTTAACTTATTAATTACTTGCTGATGACATTTCATGTTCAGAGGAGTGTGTATGAAGTGCAGCTGGCTGCTGGGATGGAAGCAGGCAGCAGGATTTTGTCCCAAAATATGGAAACAACTGTGGTTATCAGAATTTTGCTCACTTTACAGCAAACCCATACTCTTCTAATCAAATTCATAACCATCAATTCACTCGACTATTACTTGATAAGCCTCAACATCTGGCCTGGCATTTGAAGTGATGCTAGAAAGGCCTTAGCTCGGCCTTGGAGCCAGCAACAGCCTGGGGAGGGGGCTGGTCTGGGGGTGGGTGTGTGCTGGGCACAGGCTGTACCCCAAGACAAAGGTGCTGAGCAGGGGGTGCTGTACCTCTGTCCCCTGGGCCTTCACAGGGGAATGGCCTGTGCTGCTTGGGAAATGTTTGTTCTTTGCTTTCCTGCACATGGGGTTACGGGGCCAGTGGGTCTGGTCTGAGGGTCCTGAGTGGGCTGGGGGCTGCACAGGGGCTGCAGCTGGCAGCAGCCCCACAGATACCCATGGAGGGTGCAGGGACCCCTCCCTGGGGGTCAGTCTCAGGGGGTGCCCTGTCCCAGATGTGGCTGTAGGTGCACGGGCTGGTGGGCAGTGAGGGATGGGGGCGGCACGGGACGCAGGCAGACGGGCTGTAAAGTGATTTTCTGCTCCCACTGAGGAGCGCAGTGGTGCCGAGGCAGCCACTCCTGCATCCTGCCGCTCCCTCCCCGCAATCCAGCGCTGATGAATATTTCAGTCTCTCTCGTGTTATTTTTAGGTATGTGCGAGAGGGCCGCTTTCGCATTGAGGAGAGGACGCTGACGGCTTTCCAGTGGCTCTACTCGCCCCACCAGCACCGCATCGTCAGCCGGGCAGACCTGGGCTCCCCCAGCAGGTAAGGGGGCTGCTGGGCGCAGGGCTGGGGAATGTGGGGAGCTCTGGCACATACCCTGCTGCTTGCTCTTTCACAAGCCCTTGTGGTTTTGACATGGGCCTTGTGAGCCCCAAGCCTGTCTGGGGACCCTGTGATACCTGAACATCTTGGGCTTTGCTTTAAAATAAATTCCCGGGCACAGCGGCTGCACCAGGAGCTGCAAACACCACATAAGCACTGTTTAATTTAAAGCAGTGGAAAGGAAAATTATCACCTGCCCGCCCAAACTTTCCTTGTAATTGCCCCCATGGTTTTGGTTGAGGATCTGCTTTATGTGTGCAGCACTTGAGGTCCACTTAAAAACAGGTGGTAGCCAGGGGCTGTGTTTCCCCCAGCCATCAGTGATCATTGAAAAATATCTGTTCTGATCCCCTGATTTTGGTCAATGCTTAAACTCTCCCCTTGAGAGCCACATCCCAGGCATGTGCTGTGGCTCTCCTTGCTGATGCATATGCATTGCTGTCAGTCCCCATGCCATGTTTGATGATAAAACACCATTAATATAAAAGCCTCATGGGCCTCCAGACACACGCAGAGCAGCATCTGCTCTCTGGCCTGCAAAGAGCTCTGGAACAAGCTGAGTCCCTGAGTGGCTGTGGCACTAAAAGCTCTTCCCTCTCTATTTCAGCAGCAGTTTTGTTCCAAGAGCCCTTAAAGCCCTGAAGTATTTATATGCCTGGAATTGCATGGATGAGAATGAGAGTGGGAGGGTGACTGCAGAGGAAGGAGGTGCCCAAAAGACTTGGATTTCCCAGGACAGGAAGGGCTGTGGGTACTCTTCATGCAGGGCAAGCAGGGTGGGGGTGGAAGGAGGTGACGTTCACACCTGGAAGAGACTTCTTGGGGCATGAGGGAGGTGCCAGCTGTTCTCGGCAGGAGCCATGGCATACATGCTTACTGTTGCCATCTGCTTCCCAGGATGGGAATTCCTCTGCCTGCCGCTGGAGGGGCTTTCCAGAAACTGGAATGACTGTGCTATTTATTGATTTTAACTAATTTTTGCAAATTGGTTTCAGAGGCTGTGTTAGCCTCACGCCTGATGCGCATGTTTCACTTGGCATGTGGAACTGATATATGTGCAACATCATTTATAATTAATGTTAAGTGCTGTTGGGGTTAATTTCACTAGATTAATTTGATTTCCCGAGGGGGTTAATTTCCCTGGATTCATTTGATTACCCAGAGGAAAAGGTACCTAGAAGTTTCCCCCGGGAAGTTACCTGGAGCTGTCTGGAGAGTCTGTAGGACATCAGCGACCATTTATGAGTGGTGTCTGTATCTGTCTCACTGGAGTAAAATGTTTGTCTCCAAGGCAGCCCAAGTGTAAAGCCCGACTGGGCAAGAGCAGCCGCGGGCGCTGCTGCGGCCGGGGAGCGGAGCTGCGGGGGCACAGGGATGCTGCGGGCCGGGCCGGGCCGGCGGTTCCAGCTCCTGCTCGGTGGGAAGGGAACGAGGAGACAGCCACGGCGAGGCCGTGTTACTGCCTTCAGGCCGCTTTGGGCAGGACTGGGCGGCAGCCTGCGGGATCAGGGCCGCGGCGGCGGGCGGGGAGCGCGCACCGCTCCGCACGGCCCTGCCCCGTCCCGCACCGCCCCGCACCTCCCTGCCCCTCACCGCCCTGTGCCGCACGGCCCTGCCCCGTCCCGCACTGCCCTGCCCCGTCCCGCACGGCCCTGCCCCGTCCCGCACCGCCCCGCACCTCCCTGCCCCTCACCGCCCTGTGCCGCACGGCCCTGTCCCGTCCCGCACCGCCCCGCACCTCCCTGCCCTGCCCTGCCCCGCCCTGCCTCTCATCGCCTCTCACCGCCTCTCACCTCCCTGCCCCGCCCTGCCTCTCACCGCCTCCCACCGCCCCGCACCTCCCCGCCCCGCCCCGCGCGGGGCCGGCTCCGCCAGCGCGGCGGGATCCGCAGGCGGCGAGCGGCGGGCAGGGCGCGGGCGCGGGCTCCATCCTCGCGGTACGTACGCGCTCCTGGCGCGCTCCTCCGCGGCTCTCGGCTCCTCCGTCCGCGTTCGGAGCCGCGGTGCCAGGGCAGGGGCTTGGCGCCGGGAACCGGGGCCGGGAACCGGGGCTGTACGGAGGCTCAGGGCTGGGCACGGTGGACCGCGACCCATGTGTGGGGGGACGGTGAAGCGGCTGCCAGCACCGCTCTTGAAATATTGACCATTCGAGGAGGCGATTTGCAGCGGTCCGTGCGGGGCTCTGCCTGCTGTCCCCGGGGGTCGGGGTGGTGGTGTCCGCTGGCATGCGGGGAGCTTTGCCCTGCCTCCCCCGGGCACCTCCTTAGCTGGGGAGCCCCAGGTGTTTGCACAGAAAGGGACGCCTGAGCCTCCCTGCATGCCCCACGCCGCTCTGCTGGGGCGATCCTCCACACCGCTGTCCCTGTGCGAGCCTGCAGCTCATCCCTGACGGGAAAGCGGTGCAATGTCTGCTCACCAGGCTGAGCGTTTCCCTTCGTCCTGCTCGTTCCCACAGGCAGAGCACCGGTGTGCCTGGCGTGGGGCTGCGCAGAGCCTTCAGGGCTGTGAGATGCTGCTTGCATCCCTGGCGAATGCAGGCTGTGAGATGGATCCTGCCAGGCTGTGATGTCTTCTGCACGCTCTAGGCTCTGCTGTTTTGTTTAAGACTGCTTGTTGTTTTAGTAGCAGAAGGGACATAATATCTTTCCACAAGGCATGATTTATTGAATGTTGGAATCATGCCAAAGGGTTTAAATTCAGATCCAAAACACGGTGTGATTGCAGGTGTTCTCAGCCGGCTCACACTTGCACACACCACATTTCACAGGTACTGCATTCTCCCTCTGCTGCCTGTTCCTCCCACTGGAGATGAAAACCATAGCAGCAAAAATGCCTTTTTCTTTGCTTGTTTGTTTTCTCATCCTTCCTTCCCTTCATCCCTCAGCATATCTGTGTGGTAGCGGGGTTCTGAGGGCTGCTCAAAGAGGCCCTCTGCTGCTGCTGCCTGCTGTGTACCTGGTCAGATCTCTGGTGGTTGGTGGTTGCTGCTGCTGTGGTAACAGGAACAGGACTTCAGCAGCAACAGGAGGAGAGACGTTTTTTCCAGGAGCTAAAAACAGCTCATTCTCCACAGACAGTTTTGCATTTTTTGTGGGGGTAGATGAATCCTTGCTTGGAGTTAACATCTGCCTCCAAGCTGGATGCCAGAAGGACTGTTCCTTGACTGTGATTTGGTTTCAGCTCGGCTCTTGAAAAGCCCACCCAAAATGGTTGAAAAATGCAGGTGATGTTGGCAAGAGGTAGCAGGACTTGGAAAAGCTCAAGTCCAAGCCCCATGAAGCTTGTTTGCAACATTCAGAGTGTCCACACACAGGTTTGGCCTCAAACCTGAGCCCTGGCTGCTGAGGACTGACTTGTGCCAGCGCAGCTCAGCCTCAGGCAGCCCCTGATTCCCCGTCTGCTGCCGAGGCTGGGCTGCAGGGCAGGGGCGGCTGAGAGGAGCAGCCCTTGTCAGGGGAAGGTGCCAGGACACGTGCTGGCTCAGCAGCCCAGCGCCCTGCTGCTGTGGGCACCACAGAATCACAGAATGGTCTGGGTTGAAGGGACTGTAAAGGTCACTCAGTTCCAAACCCCCTCCTATGGGCAGGGACACCTTCCGCCAGACTTTACCATCTTGTGTAACATCTTAAATGTTGAGTCTCGGTGAGGGGGTTGGGGTATTCTTGATTCCTTTATTTCCATCATTAGGAAACTGTTCCAGAGATTGATTGTATTGAAAATTAGAAACCTCCTAATTTCCAGCCAAAGCATGTTCAGGTCTCTCTCATTCCCATGCTTTCCTCCCGCCCCCACATTTTCCCAGCCCTGGTTTTCAGTTTAAGCTGTTCTTTTTCTGTCTCTCCACGATTTCTTCACTGGCTGCAGCCACCCCCCTGCTCCATGTTTGTTGTGTGAATTGGGCCAAACGCTCTCCAGTTCCTAGTGCAGCTGCCAGTGCCAGCCTGCCACTGGGAACAGGTTTTTGAGGGAGGTTTGCCCCAGTGCATCCTCCCTCCAGCAGCCCCTGCACTGGGCAAACGAGTGCTGAGCTGCTGCTCCTGCAGGCAGCGGGGACTGGCAGCACGGGGTGGGATGTGCAGTGGATGTGCAGGTAGCCATGGTGACAGCGCCCAGGGAATGGAACTGGCATGGCAGCTGCTTGTCTGGCTGCAGCAGGGATGCCACCAGGCACTCAGGGGAGCAGTGGTGCCTGCCCTGTCTCTGGAGCACCCTGTGCAGGGCGCCCATGTGGGCATTGTGTGGCTGCACAGAGCAACCTTCCTGCTGGATCCTGGGGAGGCAGACTGCATGAGGATGAGAGCCTCTGCTGCTTCCCTGAAGCATCCTCCCTCAGGCTCCACTGGCATGGGAAAGGGGAGGTTGGAAGAGGTGGAGAAAACAGGCACAGAAAATCTGTGCTTGAACAGGCTTTTCCTAGAGAGAGCCTTTTCATGCCTTTTCATGAGAGAGGAATTTCATGCCCTTGCTAGCAAGGCAGGACTCTAAAATGGGTGGCCTTGAGAAAACAAACAACGCTGTACATTAAATTCAGTGGGCTGAGAAGAATTCGATGAGCCTGGGAGCCCATGTGATGAGTTCTGCATACAAGGCTGTGATGAGACATGATCTGTGTCCCACTGCAGCAAAGAACTGCTTCATGTGATGGTGGGAGAGACCAGTGGGGCTTTGTGGGTCACAGGCTCCTGGCCAGCACGGGGGCCAGGCTGTCAGCCAGCACCTGTTGCTTTCCTGGTTTTCTCCTCTGTGCTGGGCACTTCCTGGGCTGCTGGGAAAGCTGGTGCTGCCATTCCTGGGTGTAAGCATCCCTCTGTGCTAGCTGCCTGAGAAGTGATGCTTGCAGGTCGCACGATGGCTTCCTCCAGATCTTGTTTTCAGCCATTTCCGCAGAAATGAGCAGGAGTGGTCAGATCACTTCGGACATAGGGATGAGTCCATGAGCC